GTGAACCGCGTTATAGCGAGGGACCACTGTATTTTAAAACTTTATAACATTATTAATTGTTCTGAAACATCCTTCATGGCGTTTGGCAGCGTGTGAGCACAAACCCGATCAGTGAAGTCTGAGCGATGCTGTAGGACGACGGGTGACTCCACGCCGGATTTTGTTTTTCTTGGAAAAGTATCCAGTTTTTTCTTCACATTTGTTTTACATGTTTCTGAATGTCATAAAATATTAGAGTTTTTTATTTTTAGATTAAAATATTACTTTTTTTTCAAATATTACATAACTCTCCTAAATTAGTTTACTTTTCAAAAAAAATGCAGCCACATTTTTTCCTGATGCTGAATGATTTTTGATTGGTGTTTGTTTCCTGAGTGGACCTGCAGCCTGCGTTCACAGGACATGCATTCATAATTATCTCTGGGATCATTTGTGATGTGTTTGCTGTGTGAACATCATGTAAGGCTCCAGCAGACTGACAGTGATGCTCCCTGAAGGAGCGCTAAAGGCTAAAATCTAACGAATCCATTAAATCCCTAAAAAGACGGTTACGGCTCTCAAAGGCTCGATAAAACACACTTCAGAGGACTCTGAGAGGATGAGGCAGCTTTCATCTCTCAACCTGACATATTTATTTACAGTCTGTGGTGAGCTTGGCAGATTGGAGGGGTCTCCTCTCGGCGTGTTAACGAGCGCCGTTCGTTTATTCTTTCATTTCTTCCCTGAATAAATCCCTTTCATGTTCGCTGTTTCAGTCATTGTGTCGCTCGCAGTCCTCTTCACTTCTCCAGTCGCTCTTTGTGTCATCGAGAGAAAATATAATGTACAGTTGACTCCCCAGACTCCACCGATAACGCTTTCTGTTAGGATAGAAACCGAGTCGAGGAGTGAAAACCCGTCAAGCCTACATCCATTGTGTCAAACCTCTGGAAACGTAGCTACACTGATGTCTGCAGCTGTCTGCGACTGTAAGGGTTTTGGCGGGGCCGTCTCGATTTTTCATCCACAAACGACTGGTTTGT